GAAAAAAAGGTGAGATCCCATCCTTGCTTTTCAGGTGAGCTTGTTTTATGGGTAGATTCTGTATCCCTGTCTTTGTGGGGCAATGTGAACTTTGATACACCCACATCAAAACTGAATTTGTGGTTTTGGTTAATACTTTTTTTAAAATTCTATGTCATTTTGTCAGGTTTTGTAGATTTTTCTGGGGCAGAAGGTCTCCTTTCCGTGCGGAGGCTCCTCCCAGGTAGGAGCCTCATCCTTCACGATACCCCTTTGCCAGGTTAGTTGCCAGGTCGCCTTTTCCCTGTGGCTGAGCTGGCCTCCCTTGGACCTTGAGTCAGGAATGTGCAGCTCCTGCTTCAGGAGAAGAGCACGGTGAGATGTTAGCCTGGTTACAGAGCACGCTAGGAAACAGTTGTTTGTATTTAGACTTAAAATCATTTTTATGTTCCTTTACATTCTGGATTCTTAGAGAATAATTTTTATTTAGTTTTCTTCAATGTTTGTGTGTGTCATTCCTTCCTCCTCACTCCTTTCATCTGCTCCTCCTGCTCCTTTCAGACATGAAGTCACAGCGCTGCGACTGATGTCAGCGTGGCTCCATATTGACAGATCGTTCTGTCAGAAACAGGAGCTTGGTGCTTGTTTCAGATGAGGCAAAAGGGGGATGCAGATGGCAAGAGGAAAATCAGAGGAGTGAGAGGGGAGCAGGCAGAAACACCCAACCGAGAGCTATGGGAGAAAACGCAGAGTAAAAAAAAACTGAGAGGCTAGGATGGCTTTGCGTGGGTCACCGAGCCATGGGTGTCACCGAGTCCCTCTGGGTGCCCAGCGAGAGCTTTAACCATCGTGCCCATTTTGGCTCGGGAACCCTAGGAGGTGTAGGAGCAGGGATCACACACTGCTTCTCTCCTTGTTTACACCTTCAGCAACAGCAGATCCTCTTGATTGAAGGCAGGATTATAGGATTTCCAAAAGCTAGAACACACACTCGTTGTCCGCGACTTTGCATAAGTTCAGGGGCGGTCCAGAAATCAACTGCCTGCTCTCACGTGGCGCTTGAACTAATTGTCACTGCTTGAGATAAGGAAATCCTCTTCGTAACTCGTCTTGGTTGGGGCTTCCCAAGGAAAATGCCTTCCAAATTAGGAACAGACCTAAAATCACACTATTGCAGTCTGTTGAAGAGCAATTGCAACCGAAGAAATAGGAAAAAAATGAGAGCCTAGAAAAGGGTTAATAAGCAATAGATACCATGCAATTAACAGATAATCTAGTAAAACATGCTCACATCCTAAAGATTTGTCTAGCACTGAGAGCTACAGGCAGTTCTGCCGAGCTTCTTTTACCAGCGTGATGAGGAGAAGCCAACATTTGGAGGAACTGCCCGCTATGCCAACTTTTCTAATGCTCTCATGCATTCGGTTTCCAGTAGGCTGTAAAATGCCAGCTTGATATAGTCATCCGAATTAATATACTTTATTAGCCTTTTTTAGCCTGCCTTCCTGCTTCCGTGCTCTGGAGAGCCAGCGTGACCTCAGCGGTGCAGAGCAGAGGGCAGGGGCGGCGGGGGCCCTCGTGCCACGGCAGGTAACTCCGCTCAGCAATTTGGGCAAATAATTTTTGGACAGTTGGCCACTTCTCCAGGAGGAAGTCAGAAAGCAACTGGCAAGTGCTTCGATTCATTGCTTGAGGCCTAAAGCTGTCGGAAAACAAATCTCTTCTTTAGCCCACAAACACGTCCATCTAACTTATTTCCAATTTGAAATATCGCTCATACAGTGCACGTATTTTTATTTCACAGCTGCCTCTGTACAAATGTGCAGCACGAAGGCTTTTTCTGTCTTCGGAGCAGATCTAGTTTAGAAGTAAACATCTTTGTGGCTTATTAGTCTTTGGAAGGCATCGTTTTGTCCTCGTACCATTCACAGGGAGTGTTGTGCAGAATGCTGATTGACAAAAGTTAAATTCAAAACATGTAGGCATTTTCTGGTGTATGTTTTTTTTTTTTTTCTGATTGAAGGAAAACTACTTAGATGTTTGTTTCCAAAACGGCATCTGTCAGCAATCAAAGGGGAAAAATTGCATAAAACAAATGCAATTGTTTGGAGTAGCATTTCCTGGATCATGTTAAATGCTTGATTTGCTCCCCATTATGCTCACCAAATAATTTTATTTTCCACAATAATTGCAATATTTAACATGTTGTATTTAATCTTGTTTTAATGCTATTAACAGCAGCCGCTTATGAAAGGAATAATTGCTCCGCGGGTAAGAACCCACCATCGCTGGCCTGGAGCGAACAATGGCCAAGTTAACTGCACCTAATTGTCCTGAATTTAAACTGCTGGTAACCAAGAGCGCTCATCATTTCTTTGCACTTAACTCCCATACTGTCAGGAAGGAAGTGTTTTCGTGCCGCTGTCATTCATAACCTGAAAACTGTGTGCTCAGCTAAAAAGAAATATTTATTTACTCCGAGTGTTTATAATTAATATTCTAAAGTAAAATCACATATTGGCAGAGATAGACGTGAGTACCCTCAAAGCAGTGGTTAATGCAGCAATCAAGCAAAGTTTGCCGGTGGGTCTGTAGCTGCATCGGGTAATAGAAAGACATGTAGGCATGAACTGTGATTTATCAGAACTTGGGTGGACAGACATACAGCACAACTGGCTATAAAATACTAAATAAATAATAAGGGGAGGGGAAGTTGTTTGGTTTAAGATGCAGGAGCAAAGAGAGCAGCATAAAATTGAATCTGACACTAGTTCAAGGGCTGGTTGTTACTTAATCATTTTACCTTATATTTTGCATGGTTATTTGGAGGGATTTTCTCAGGCAGCAAGCGAGAGAAAGAGCAGGTAGCACTAGCAGACCTGCAGTAACAGAAAACGATAAACACTTTGGCTGGCCACTGCGAGCACAGTTCCTGGCACGGGGTCCTTTTTTTTTTCCTGGATTCCGACTAAAACTTAACACTTGCCGTGCTAGCCAGGCTCTTTGCTGTAAATAGGAGGGATGCTCTACCTGCTCCCCAGACCAAAAAGGTGCTTTGGGACTCTGGGCAGTGGCACAGATCATGCGCAAACATATTTTTGCACAGTCCGAATATATTGTGGAAGCCTGGGCAAAACCAAAGACTAACCCTTGAACGTTATGTTAGCAGTTTGTGTTTATCCTGAATCTCTTGCTTATCATGTCGCACATCACAGAAACGCAGGGGTATTCCTGCAGCTCCATGAAAGTCACTTCTGTGCTGCACTGAATGACGGTTTTGTGGTCTGCACAGCCTGCACTGATATTTTGCTGTAGCCAAATAGTTAAACAGTTGTTAGTATACAAAACACTCAAGGGGAGAATTGTGCACCCACGAGCTCCCCTTTTTGATGCAAACAGAAATGGATATTGTTCAAAATAGAGCGGATATTTTTAATACATTTTTCCTCTTGTGTCCCAGTAATGAAAAGATTTGCGGAGTGGCATTTTTTTGAGTGTGCGAGTTGTATCAGTCATAGTTCAATAGACCTACGAAATATTCCTGGCAAGAGCCTGCTTGCCAGTTCAGAAGTTCATTTTTAGAGCACTTGAGGCAAGGAACCGCTGCGGGGATTGAAGTGCCCTATTATTAGGTGGTGCTGCTCATAGCCCGGCACCCGGCACTGCGTGCGATGAAACGGGCTGATTTACATGGAAAACATTCATCACCGGGGTAATACCCAGCTGCCAGAAAAGTAACACAGTTGTGGCTTCCACAGCACACAGTGGCAAACAGAGGTGGTAAAATATATGATTATCTTGTCCTTCATTTTCCGAGGCAGGATTTTAACACTGAAATGGGTAGGATTTCCGAACTTTTCAAAACTGGCTTGGAGTTGTCTTCTTCCAAACTGTCCGTCGGTCCCTCCTGTAAGTCTGGGACATGGAGAACCCTGATGCGCAAGGAAGTTTGGCAGGAGGGAGAGGGAAATCTGTGTGAGTCCTGGGTAGTTAATACCCAATGATATTAGAAGTATAACATTAAAAAAACAAGTTTTAAAAATGCAGTAGCAAAACTATATTAAAAAAAAAGGACAAGAAGGGAATTGTTTAGTTCTAAGGAGCACTTTAGCCCTTTGAGCCTTCATATGAGAAGTCATTCATTTGAACAGTAAGATCTGATATCTAAAATCAAGAAGGAACAAAGAGCCGGAACTTTAATGTCTCCCTTATTAAAAAAAAAAGAAAAAAAAATAAAAGGGAGCGTTAGATTCCTTCAGAAAGCTTCTGTTTCTGAGAGGCAGAATAAACTTCAGCAGTTCATACTTTTGTTTTGCCTTTCACTGCCTAAATCATTACACCCACAGATACTAAAAAATATTTTTTAAAAAAAGAAATTAGAAAAGGAAGATAAATAGAAAAAAAAAAGAAGGAAAAACACTCAATCTCCCTTTTTTCTCCTTTTTTTTTTTTTTTTTTGCTGTCTTTTTTTTTTCCCCCGGTCACGTATATGAGAAAAGTAGCTGCGATAAACAGATACTGAATCAGACTGAAAGTCTTAAAAAAAAAAAAAACCCAAACATTGCATGATAGTCTCTAAGCAGTTCCATCTGTCAAGCAGAAATTTTAGGCTAATAGCCTGTGGCGATCTCCCTCCGCAGTCCACTACCTGCCTTTGTCCTATTAAATCTCTTTATTCTCCTTCAAAAAAAAAAGAAGGAAAAAAAAGAAGGGGGAAAGGAAAGAAAAACCTTGCACACCAAAATCATCTGAGTGATGAAGCCCTAATTTTGGCCGCCTCGCTTTGATGTTGAGCAGTGGGTTCTTATTTAAAAAAAAAAAAAAAAAAAAGGGGAGCGAGCGGGAGCGCGGGAGAGGGGGAGAGCGGAGAGAGGAGAAGACAGTGCTGGGAGCAGATGACTTTTCATCTCCACTTCACCTTGCCACCGGCTCTCCGAGAGATTGGTTCATTGTCAAGGAGATTTTTTTTTTTACCCATGATTCCATATGGGATGGAGCGGGCTACATGTTGCCCAACATGCCAGTGCAAATGTTTTCTCAATTAGGTGTCTTATCTCCCGTGAGTTAGCATCAGATGAAGCTTGCTGACAGCATAATGGCAGGGAAAACCTCCGACGGCTCCATCAAATGGCAGCTCTGCTACGACATCTCGGCCAGAACTTGGTGGATGGTGAGTTGGCAGCAGGGCTGCTTTTTTTTTTTTTTTTTTTTTTTCTCTCTCCCTTTTCTACTTTCCCTCCCTCTCTGACAGAATGTCCCAGACCTCACATTTATCAAATTAACATTTGATTTTTTTCACGCTCCTCGCTGGAGCAGCCTCGCGCTTGCCCCACGCGTACGCGCGGCCCCCGTGCGACAGCAGACGCTGGCTGGGCACGGCGGCGGCCGCGGGGAAGCTTTTTTCGGGGGGGAAAAAAAAGAAACAAAAAGTCTGCAAAGAAGGAGTTTGCAACAGCCTTGTGCGGAGCAGCTCGTCGCAGGCAGCCGCCTGACGCTCACTTTGTTTTACTTTATCTGCTGCTCGCGAGCGTCCGTCCGTCCGTCCGCGTGCGCTTTCGCCAGGCAGCCTTTGCTAACGAGGGAGGGGGGGAGTGCGTCCGCGTGCGCTTTCGCCAGGCAGCCTTTGCTAACGAGGGAGGTGGGAAGTGCAGTAGAGCCCAAGCTAAAGTCTGCGGCGGTGCGTCCGTGTCGGGGCCGAACGGCCACGTGCGGCTCCTGCAAGGTAGAGCCTCTCCTCGGAGACCCCCTGGCTTCTCCTGCCGCCTGCTTGCGTTAGAGCAGGTTACGGCTCTATTAGGAGCCGGCGCCGCGTGTTACAGATCCCACGTAACGTGGCGCGGGCTGCGTTGGGGGGCAATTAAAGTTTCCGTAAAGTTGCAGCGGGCTCCGCAGGACGAGTTAACTGGCATGTCGTGGTCAGCCGGGCCAGACAACCTTTGACATCCCGAATCTATACGAGGTAGGGAGAGTTGGGAGGATGCACAATAGCCCATTGTGGCAGGAGATGCAAGTCCCGTTGTGAGGAGGAGAGTCCTCGAGTCATTACTGCCCTCGTTAGCGTGTTGTCCGTTAGGGATTAATTCGTTAGCGGGGCATTTTTAGTTTTCTGTAATTATTATTCTTGCGGCAAGCGTGAATTCTCCCAGCGAGAGGAAAAGTTTGCTGCCAGGACAATGCCTGTATTATCCGCTCCTAACTGGACCGTGAACCTCCGCTCGTTTCACATAGATATCAGTTAAAAAAGGACCGGCGAGTGGAATTACAAAACGCGCTGTGATCGGTTTCATTGTACACTCCGCCGCGGCGAGCCGGCTCCCCCCGCGCCGCCCCGCACCGATTTGGGTGTCATTTGGGAAATTTTAAGACCTCCGAGGACTTGAAAGACTTTTTAAAAGTGAGATCCGGAAGGTTTTTATTCTGCAACGTGGTGGTGGCCATTGTGCGGATCATGTGGCTTATGTTTCAAGGTGTTTGGGCTTTGGGGTTTTTTCGTTTTGTTTTGTCTCAACTCTTAATTTTTTAACCGTCTATTAGAGGTTTCCCAGTGGTTGCCAGCGAAACGTAACGTGCAGCTTTTGGGGAGTGGGAACGGCGCAGGGCTAACCACTTTACTTATACTACTGATTTTCCAATTAGACTTTCTGCCAGGGGAAGTTGGAGGGGGAAGGGGTATTTGCATGCACATAAACTGTTGACTATTCATGTGACTTTTTTTTTTTTAAAGCTTGTTAAACCCCTGTAAATAAGTCTATTGATTCTTAGTTATCGTTTGCAAAGTTTTAAACTGTCGGATTTTAGCTGCCCCCTTTCTATCGTGCTGTGGTCTTACCTTCTTCTAAGTTATATTTATGTATTTTGTTAGCAGTCCTCTTTTCTTGCCTCGCGTCTGCTTTCAGGATGAGGTGTGTCCATGTTTATTATTTAATAAGTACCCCCACACATTATTAGACCGCTGTTCCCCCCCTCTAGAAAGTATGCTAGGAAGTTTCATTTCAGTCACATGTATTTCACAGATGTTTCAGTGCTGTGAATATATATGTAAAAATGCTGGAAACATTTAGTAATGCACTTGCCTAAAAATAAACAGTTTTATAACCACACATGCTGTTGTTTAGATTAAACATTGCAGAAAGTTCGCCTTAAACTTAAACGTCACACCATTTATTTTCTAAGAGAACGACCCCCCCACCCGTAGCCTTTTCTGTAGAAGTTGTGCTACACGATAGAGATGTTATTTTTAACTGAAATGAATAATTCACGATCCTTACAATAGATGTGTTAATTGCAAATAATTTTCATCCAAAGTTTCAATTATTGATGGAGTAATAAGCAGTGATTTTACACAGTCTATGAGTCTGAAATGTAAAACAAGAAAATAGATGGCTATTATTTTTTAACCCCTCAAATCTCATCATGTTTGCCACATCCAGTTAATCAAAGGTAAGCTAAGGAGCAGATATTAAGGTTTTAAAGACAAATAAAGCTTTGAAAATTACCTCATGCATCGTGTGGCTGCACAAAATCTCGGCTGCACAGAGCTAAACTTCGGGCTGGTACTGCCAGCATACAAAGAGATGCGTGAATGCCCCTCGCACCCATATGGACTCAGCTGCCAGCACTGGGATATGCAATTTTGCTTTTTAATGAATCGTAAACAATTTGTGTGTCAAATGAGCGAGTTGCTTTTGATTTCCGGAGCAGGGTCTAACTCAGTTTAAAGCTATAGCTGTGTGCTCTACGGGAGCAGGATGCCCAATTTTAAAGGTTCTGTGTCATTTTGATGAAAGGACCTGCTATAATGAAAGAAACGGCTTTATAAAAGGCTGGGTGTAGTAATCTCTCTTTCTTTCTTTCTTTCTCTCTGTCTCTCTGTCTCTCAAGCTCACACTCTCCCTCTTTCACGCCACTCTATAGCGTGTTTATAGCTGGCGAGCTGGAGATAATGGAGATTGGGCGATCGCATGATTAGGAAAATGAATGGACTTGGTCGTGGGGCAGAGCAGCCTGCAGTTTTGAAAGGTGCCTTGAAAACGCTGCAATCTAATTTTGACCTTATTTTCTTTCATGAATAATCTGTATTAATGCTTCTTTAATTCATTTTTCCTCATCACAGCTAGTTTTTCTCTCTGATGGAATGGCTAATGTATTTTATCTTACTTGCCAAAATAGCAAAAGGTCACGGCAAAATAAAAATGCTATTTTTCTTTCTCTTAGCCAGTTATAAATGTTTCGGACTATTTCTGCAGCACTCAGAGGATTTGCACGTTTTAACAGTCATTACATTTGTCACCACAGTTTATAACGAGTCTTATAGAAAGCCAGTCTGTTTTTCTCATGCTTCAAACATGTAAGTGCAGAAATAGTTATTATTTTGGCTTTATCATGATGTGACATTTTAGCTGAAAACTTCCCCAAAATACTGCAAATTTACATAAGAAGGAATTCTCTGTTTTTATATGTTCAAAAACATAGGTTAGCAGAGCAGCCTGAGGATACCATATAGTTAGTTTTCTGGAAAAAATGATCATATTTTTTAGTTACTGACTGACACTTTTTATTTAAATTAGATGCTGTCATAGAGACACTAAAGGGTTAGTCAGGCAAAAGTTCCAGTACTCTGCCTTGCATTTGTAACAAATATGTGCAGCTGGGCTACTTTTATAAATATTTATTTCAAGTTGATTATTTTTTTGATTATTTGCTCTAGCAAGCCAATATGATGTGATTATTATATATGATTAATAAGGGATTGTCTACAAAATTCCTTTGCATCAGATTGTTGAAATATATGCATAGTAAAAGTAGATATTGGAGAAAAATGCTCAATGGCAACACAAAAATAAAGACCCTGGGCCAAACTCTGCTCCCGTTTACACTGGCATCAGCCAGTAAGAGAGGTGGAGCGAGTCCAGATTTACCTACCTGAGCCTGAGAACAAACTTGGACCCAGAATTTGCGGATCTCACTCCAAACAGTTTTGAAACCCAAACTGTTTTCCATTGCAAAATATCTGAAGAGAAAAAGCTTCATTAATAAATAAGAAGCCCTTTCAAATGCCTCCCAGTATGAGTTGACATGCAAACTGCTGTTACTGAAGGCGAGAGTTCAAACAGATCTTTCAGTCATTTTCCAAAATAATTCTTTTCTTTTTTTATTCTTTGCTACCGATCCACATTTCAGTGGATACACCCTTTTTTTCTTTAGGTGCCATCAGTGAAGCGATCATTTAGTAAAGATGCTAGGATTAGACTTGATATGTTCATTTTGCTCCTTTAGATGCTTTTAAACTAACATCAGTTTGTTCTGAAGCTGTCGGTAAAAACTCTTGTTTCATGCCTCCGCACTCCGTGTTTTCAAAGGGATAGCTGGAATAGCTCAGGTAATTTCTGCTGTCGGAAAAATGAAAATTTCAAAGTGCTAGTAGCATTTGCTCAATTAAAAATTAATAGCATTCTCAATATAAATCTCACTGCAACTGAGATTAAAAGTGGTGGTGCATTTAATAAACATTTTATTTAATTTCATCATATGGGAAGCTGCCTGTTGCTATTGACATTCGAAAATCTGAAAGCATGAAACTCCCAAATTAGTATTTCTTATTTCAGTCCGTGAGCAGGTCTGTGTATGTGTGGCTGTACATGTGTTCTCATCCCGTGTACGTGGTAATCCCCACATGCTGCTGGGCTGTGCAGGGCTCTGCCGAGCTGTGCTTCCTCCTTATCATTTACAGTGTATCAGAAAACGTACCTGTATTTATAATTATCCTTTACCTGCCCTTATAAAAATACCAAAGTGTGAACAAAGTAATATCTCCACATGGATTTTCTTAGTTTTATGGAGCAACGACGGGTGTTCAAATACTGCTCAGCTGCCGCAGAAATGTTGTTATTGAAACTCTTCCTTCCCCACCAGAGCTGCCGTGCTCCGTGTGTAGGCTGGGCACATGGGTGCCGCGCAGCATGGCACGCACTAAATAGCATCCTGCTTTTCCGTACGCATCCTCCTCCTGCCTGCAAGGATTTTTCCTGGTGCTTTTCTGTTCCTTTTCCTTCACCTGTCCTGAATATCGCCACGAATGGTTCTAATTTAAAGCCAGAGGAGTCAGTGGCTGATTAGAAGACAGGAAATTGGAGGATTAAACTGTCTGGTTGAACTTCCTTTACTTATCAG